TAATAGTAAACCTGTTTAAGTTTCTTTTAAACTTTGGGCCAGTGAGATGCTAATAAATCCTGATAATCTGGCCTTGATCTTGACAGTAAAGTAAAAACAATTCTTTAAAAAAAACGTCAATATAATTTATCTCTGAGCAAATGCCGGTGCAGATTTTCAGTCATCCAGGACATGGTAAAACTGAAGAAAACTGAACAACTGTAGATCACTTCTGTAGTTTTAGTTCAACTGCAGAATATAATGCAAGTCCAGCTGTTTGTTTTTTAGCCTCAGCAGATACAGTACGTACATCATTCAATGCTGACATTAGTCCAATAAAATATGTTTGTGCTGTGTATTGCTGTAGAAAAGATTTTTGCATATATTAAAGATTTCTTTCACCTTCATCAATGAGAAAGTCTAACTTGATGCTCACATCTGGCAAAAAAAATAATGATAAACTTGAAAAGACAAACTGTTTACTGAACTTTACTGAACTTGCAGACGCCTGTGATTAAACTTATGACAGAGTGAAACAAATGATGAACAGCTGCGATGCTGTGTGTCACTCCTCGCTTGTCGAGGAATAAATCAGAACAGCTATTATTTGACTAATTGTTTCCCTCTCATGAGGAYAATTGTAAATTGTTCTGCGGTTGCCACGTAACTTCATAATAGAGAAATAGTACTGAAGGCAAAAATGCTGTGTGAATTCTGGGTGATGGATGAATGCTGAAATTCGCTGAGGAAGCTAAAACTGAACTGCTAATTAAAGAGAAACACTAGCTAAAAGCTGAAAGTAGCAAAAGAAAGTCTAAAAGCTAAATGTAACAAAAGGACAGCTAACTACAGGTTGGTTTAAGGCTAGCAAAAAGTAGCAAAAGCTTAGCTAAAAGGCACAAGTTAGCAAAGCTGGCCTCAGCTGGTACACAAAGAAGACATTCAGGAGTCTTCCTTCAGAGATGCTTGTGATTCATGCTGWTGTGGAAACTTTTTCTGAGGGAAAGGGAGGATTAGGAAGCTCTGGAGAGTCTCGCATGTTTTCAATCGTTTCTTTTCAAGTTTTTGAAACTTAATTTGGTTTTTATTTGCTCATAACTGTCAGCAGCTGAGTTCCTGATTCACACTCCCATTTTTGATCACAGAGTTCCCGAGATATTAAATGTACACTAAATTATAAGGACAGGGTTAGCGAAACTTCAAAGTCTAACTGGGAATCCCCTATATTTTATTATTTGTTTGAGCATTACCAGAATACAGAACCAGATGTCTTTGATTTCTTCTTGATTTAATGCATTTAGCAGATTAACACACGCCGGGGAAGCTTTCATTGCACCCAAACAAAATAAGCGGCCAGCTTACTCATTGAGTGTGATTGGTGTTTCTCTTCTGAACAACTCCTCTTATGAACATTTTTACAGTAAAACAAACAGAGATAAAAAAGGAGAGAATGTAATATAACACTTTAAACCAACAAGATTTATTTTCCTAAAATAATTTCTTTAGAGAGGATTGTCACAGTGTTAACAGAAAAATATGCTTTTTCATTTTACATTATAGATTAATGTTTTCACCCAGCCTTGGAATAAACCAATCAAAGACTTTTACAGCCAAGAATGTAAGCCGGACTTGTTAGAAATTTACTGTGAAAACAACACAAGTGTCAAGGCTGTTGGATAAGAAAAGAAAAAAAATAAAGCGCTAACATTCTTCAATAAAAAATGCATTTCACCTGCCACCTTTCATGCCAAAGCTTTAAACTGAAATCATTTTTTTTAGAAAAAAAAAGAAGTTGTAGCCGTTTTGTCAAATCCTAAAAGTATTAGGATCTCTGGCAGTAAGTTTTATTAAATTATTATGGGTTATGAGACGTTTTGCAAACAGACAAAAAGTTAATACATAGAGAGAGATGAGCCTTTCGTGACAGATAGGTGATTAAATTTTTTWAAATGTTTAAAATGATCTTGGATCCTAGCTGCAGTATTATGAGAGGTATAAAGTAAAGTACAAACTTTGTCACTGTATTTAAGAAGCAATTTTGGTTATCTATACTTTACTTGAGTAATTATGTTTCAGCTTACTTTTTACTTCTCCTTACATTTTCACACAATTATCTGTACTTTCACCCACATTTGCATGACACACATCACGTCACACTCCAGCCCACTATAGCAGATGTACAGTATACATCCTAGTATGAAGATAGAAGAGAGTTATATATGCAGCTGAAACAGGAAGTCTAGTGCATCCTGTTTTTCAACAAAAGTATTTTAATATACCATTATAGTCAATATGAAAAATGTGTTTTTGGGGGGACACCACCCAATAAATTTGACATTCTAACCACTCACTTTTTCCTAATACTTTCACTTTTAATACTTAGGTACGTTTTATATCAGAAATTTACTTTTGTTACTTAAGTACAGCAAACATCAAATACTTTAAGAYTTTCACTCAAGTACTATTTTTAGAGAAGACTTTAACTTTTACCAAAGTAATTTTATAGTCAGACACTTGTACTTTTACTCAAATATTACCATGATGTACTTGTATTATATATTTTTACATTTATGGTGACAGATTGAGAGACATGACAGCTGCGCCTACGACTACCTGGAGGTCCGTGACGGCCCGCTTGAAACAAGCCCTCTRATTGGTCGGTTCTGTGGTTATGACAAACCTGAAGACGTGCGCTCAACGTCACACACGCTGTGGATGAAGTTTGTCTCCGATGGGACGGTGAACAAGGCTGGTTTCGCTGCAAACTTTTTCAAAGGTGTGTGAAGTTGACTAAGAAGTGTGTGTGTGTGAGAGGGGGAGAGAGAAAGAGAGAGAGAGAGAGATTTGTTTGCCTCTGTTAAACGCTGGCTCTTGTGATTTTCAGAGGAAGATGAGTGTGCCAAACCAGACAATGGTGGATGTGAGCAGAGGTGTGTGAACACTTTGGGCAGCTTCAAGTGTGCCTGTGACCCGGGTTACGAACTGGCCCCYGACAAGAAGAGCTGCGAAGGTGACTGCGATGGTGCAGATGTAAAGTTTGCGTGTTTGCACTCTTTGTGTTTCTGCAGGATGGAAGTTCAGCTCGTACATAAAAACATCCGAACACATTCCATCAACAGGAAAAAACACAAAAGGCACAAACTTGCATGCCTACTCRTTCCCATGCCATACATCCCATCAAAGTGCTTTCATTTCACCAAAACAGAATAACAACATGTAACGACCTGCGCACTGAAACAAAGGAGCAAAACGCTTCTGAGGCTGAGAGAGAGGAAGCTGTTAGTGAAAAATGTGATTTGAGGGTTTTCTGAAGAGGAGTAGTGGCTGCCCTGAGAAGACTAGAATGTGTTTGTGTGAGGATTGTGTTGTCTGTTGTTCTGTGTTTTCTGTGTCACCACCTCTCAGTTCTCCTCAGCTTGTTTTCCTGCCTTTYCTCAGTTAATCATCCTCACCTGTCTGTGATCACCAATCTTCCTTCCAGGTGTTTGTCATTTCCTCTCTCCCTCTGTTTGTATAAATACTGGTCATTTCCTCCATATGCTCACTGGATCATTGTATGGCATCGTCCATCTGTCTCATTCCCCTGTGTTCCTCCGTGACTCCTTGTATTTTAGTTTATCTGCTGCTCCATCAGCCTTTTGCTTTGTTAAATAAATTTCTTTATTTTAACTCTTATCCTCCATCCGGACTTGGGTTCATTTCCCTGCATTAAACCTGACAGATTGCTTGTCTGTTTCTTTATCTGTAGTGTTAGCAAAATGTTTCATAAATACGTGGACATAATGAAAATTTCAGAAATTAATTACTAAATGCAAATCTACAACTAATTAGCTTTTGGAGTGAACCCAAAGCAAGATGGCTGCAAAAGATATGCAACCTTAAAGGGACAATGTTATGTGTTTCTCAGGCATACATTTAAATACTATACCATAATAAAGTATCTATGTCACCTTTAGCTGTTATTAAAATGCTGTTTTTGTGTTAAATAGAAAATAAACTTATCTTCTCATCACTTCCTCTTCTAAATGCCTTGAAATTGGCCTCCGTCTCTTTAAGAACCACCTTCCGCTTCTGTCTCGCCCATTTCGGTGCGGGGGTGGGGGGGACGCGCTCGCGGGGGTGCTATGATGCAGCTTATTTGGCATCTGAAAATACATTTCCTCAAAGGTATTTTTAATCTGAAAAAGAGCTTCACTGAGTGTGAAGTAGTGTTGAGAGCTCAGCAGACAGTTAGGTTTCACTTTCACTTTCACCTGAGAGCCTGCAGGAGTCATGGCCAGGGTGTGTGGGGAGGGAGGGGGTGCGCTCTGCCATGAGGAAGCTCGGCTTAAAGACACGTCCCAGGGGCGTTTCTGGTCCCAAAAGGCGTTTCTGGTCCCCACCTGTTGTTTTGCTCCTCAGCATGGCTTCCTAAAAACGCTGCAGGATTTCTCAAACATGCATGAATGAGTCAAAGCAAGGCTTTGGGCATGTTTTTTATGAGAGTATAACATTATAACAAGTTGATTTTACATGATATTGCCCCTTTAACAATCAAAAAAATCTTCTAACTCCATCAATTTTACAGATATTGAGCTAAAAYTGAGTGTGTCGGAAGCTGAGAGTMATTTCAAACACRTACACTGAATGCKCCACATTATGTAAGATCTTTGCTTAAAACATTGGCRTTAACTGTTGGCTTCAACCCTGTTTGCCTGTTAGCAAAATATCATGTGACTCACTGGATGAACTACAAAGACAGTGATTCCTAGATACACGTACAACTCGTTAACTTCTGGAGTTAACCCGGTTCAAGATGGCCACTGCAACCAGCTGGTTTTATAAACACAAAAATAACTATAACTAGTCAGATTGACAGATACTGAGTGAAAGCTTGATGTGGTAGTAGCTGAGAGTCATTCACAGTACCACAATACTGCCAGAGTTGTAAAGTAACTAAGTACAAATACTTTGTTACTSTACTTAAGTAGAAATTTTGGTTATCTGTACTTTATTGAGTAATTATTTTTCAGCGTACTTTTTACTTTTACTCATTACATTTTTACAAAATTATCCGTACTTTCTACTCACTACATTTTTTAAAAAGGGAAGAAGTAGAAAGTCGTTACTCCTATTTAATTCCAAGTTGTTATTACTTAAAAAAATACTATCCTGATAAATTGTGTCTCCTGGATAGAGTGAATTTAATTGTGGTTGGATGAGAAGTATAAATATATAGCATTCTGACACTATTAGCTTGTACACAACCCATCACAGCTGCACGCCGTTAGAAAAAATATTTTTTGGAGAAGTCACCTCCCAATAAATGTCATTTAGGAAAATCTAACTGCTCACTTTTATTCAGTACTTCAGTATTTACTTTTAATACTTAAATAGATTTTGTGTCAGAAATTTACTTTTGATACTGAAGGACAAAATAAATCAGATACTTTGACTTTTACTCAAGTAATATTTTTAGAGAAGACTTTAACTTTTACCAAAGTTTTTTTATGATAAGATACTGTACTTTTACTCAAGTATCACTTTGAGGTACTTTATACAACAGTGAATACTGCATAAGCTTGTGCCTAAAATCATAGAAAATATTTGACTAAAATAGCTATAACTGTCATTTCTTATGACAAGATTATTTTAATCTAAAAGGCATGAGGTGTTTTGCACTCCTTCGAGCAATGCTAGGTCTGGATTTATTTTACTATAAAGTTTTGTTTGTATGTGTGTCCTTGCAGCGGCTTGTGGCGGTCTCCTGTCCAAGTTAAATGGAACTATAAGCACTCCCGGCTGGCCTAAAGAATATCCACCCAACAAGAACTGTGTTTGGCAGGTGGTGGCTCCCAATCAGTACCGCATCTCCATGCAGTTTGAGGCTTTTGAGCTGGAGGGCAACGAGGTTTGTGTGCCCGTGCGACTGTGTTGCTACCCTCAGGGTTGAGTGTTGCAAGCCACCCCCTCACTCTGGTTGTGTGCTTTAGGTTTGTAAATACGATTACGTCGAGGTGCGGAGCGGCCTCTCGTCTGACTCTAAGCTGCACGGGAAATACTGCGGCTCTGAAGTCCCCGAGGTCATCACCTCTCAGTACAACAACATGAGGATCGAGTTCAAGTCAGACAACACAGTTTCCAAGAAAGGCTTCAAAGCTCACTTCTTCTCAGGTAAGACCCACCTGTGAGCGTGTGTGCATGGTTAGAGTGCTGCATTTAGGGATCGCTAAATTGAAGTGAGAGTGACTGGAACACCCAGAGTGAGCAGACGGACATGGGAGAGGTGAATTATGGTGCAGGAGTGGTTTGTGGGTTTGATGCTKAACACCACTGGAATCCATTGAGTCTGCCAGAACCCAAAGCTGATATCTCAGCACCTTCGCCTCCTACTAACTGTGTCAGTTTTAAAGCTGTGAGAGATTTCAATGTTTGTGTCTTATTAAGTGTCAGTTTTAATATAAACACAAACAGGAAATGTAGTATTCACCCTCTGTAAATAGTTTAGTTCTGTTTGGATTTTTTTTTAAAATCTTTATACAAGAATACATGTTGAGTTTTGTAGATATGAAATCAGCAAAAACACATTTTAATACCTTGTATGTTTGAATTGTCAAGGTTTTTTTCAGTTTTATTAAAGTTTGAATTTTTGCTCTCTGTAATTTTTGAAGAAAGATTAAAAATGATCCGTTTCCAAAAGACATGGTTGGATTTAATGTCCAGGCAGTTTAAAAAAATACAAAAACAGGATTTTAGAAATAAACCTTGAAGAAATTTATAACAAAGTCTTTAATCCTTTATAGCATAAGTGAAGTTTTGTTGTTTTGTTTATACATCATGTTTTGTTTAAAATAGGCCCAAATTTCTCTGTGCTAGATTTTAAAAGTCAAATATGATGACAAACACAAAGAATTGGCATCTCAAAAGAAGACATTTCTAAATGTTGCCTTTGATTGCTATTGCATGTTAATCTTTGAAATAACTGCCACATATTTCAGTTCACAGGTAACACATACACTAAGCGCTATGTAAGATTTTTATTTATCTAAATGCAACATTAAAGCTTGACGTGTCATCATCAGGGAATAAAAAATCTTGGGTCTATCTATCAGCGTGAAGCATTCATTAATCTGCAAGTTTGCAACAAATGCAGCTACATGTGTAGCAAATATTTTAATATCGATTTTTGTAGGTGATTTGATGTTATTCATGTGACCTTTTGTGACCTTTAAATCCTGCTAAACAGATCAAAATGGTCTATAAAAAAACGTTTCCCACTCTTGTTTTTAGAGGGACCCCCTCCTACAAGCATGAAGTGTTCTCTCATGTCTCCATGCCTCGACCTCTGCTGTGCGTTGCGGTGTCTCTTTACCTAGTTTAGTATTTAGTTTTATGTGTGTTGGAAAAATATGCGTTGTTCAAAATGGTATGTCCGAATAAACAGGATTCAGCTGGATTTCTTCTTTAAAACTTTATTTTCAATCTTCTGACTCCAGTCAGTCACATTCAGCGCTCAGCAGCACAGGCCTCAGCGTACAACCTTGGGCTGAATCAAAACAAACACGGGAGCTCTGCTCTGAGCAGACACTCTGCAAAACACTGACAACTTCTTTTTACTATATAATGAATTGAGCTTATAATGTTCATCCCTTCCTGGTTACACCCCAGAGGTGTTACCTTTTACATCAGACGTCAGAACGTCACTCAGTTTTCTTTAGGCTAAGAGAAAGACACATGGTAACACACATACACCATCTCTTTGTCTGTTTTAAACTTACAAACTGAAATGATGAGAAAGTATAAAATACAAAACTGAATCTAATATTCATTTAATCAGTTACAAAATTTCTTCATGTGTGTGCGGCTCTTCCTACATGTCTGTCATGCTGTGTCTCCTGAGCCTCCATTCAGCCAGCCTCCTGCACCCACCCCCCTCGCTCTGACCTCTCCCCCCTCAGACAGACTGGCACTGTGTCAGAAGCGTATCTTTGTTTTTGAGTCATGCAAGGACCTAAAGCCCGGCCGGTCTCCGACTCGTGGTCCCATCAACAACAAGCTGGCAGCATCGTCAAAGGTCAAAGGTAACACGACCTCACAACTGTGACCTGTGATTGTCTGCTGTAAGATATGAGGGAATGGATGGATCCTGTTATGGTGATGAGGAGTGCTGCTCCACCCATTCTCCTTCAGCATAAAATACTCTGTGTCCCAGTTTGGAAAAAACAAACATACTACAAAATATTGATTAAGACTGAGCGACATCTTAAAATTCTTGCTTTAATAAACTTGCATCATAATGATGTGATGTTACCATGAACTCATTCTGTAGTTTTCTCTCATTTAAATGAATGATTTCATATAAGCTGCAACTAAAACCCTCTTTGTTTTGTTAAAGTTGCATTATGGATCAACGGTGTCCACTAACAAAACTTTGTTTAATTAATTCTCTATTAATAATTTTAGAAGGATGCGTTTTTTTTTACCTATTCAAAGGTACGCAACAAGCAGTTTTGTTTACGTCCTCACAGATTTCCTCCTCTCTGTTATCTGCTGATGAAGAAATCAATGACAAAACGTCAGATTTGTTGGAAGAACATGTGTTGCTTCACTTACATGCATGTGTTACATTTGACATTGTTACACAAGGAGCGAATAAGAACRAAATATTGGTTTTAATTGTGTTGCCTGCAGTATATTGTTTGAATAGGAAATGCACTCATAGTTTTGAGCAAAAGTATCCCTCATCTGTTGAGACATGGATCAGTTTGTTGCACAAATCTTAYGCAGTTGATCCTTAAAAATCCACAAATGATTTTTTTTCCTGACAATAAATAAYTAAGAAATTTTGATTCTTAAAACAGGTTGATTTATGATTAAAGTTGTGTCGTTCTTTCTAAAACATATATTTCATTTAGACCCTGCTTGTTGGTTCACTTACTGATGTGTTTCATTTTCTTTTTTCAAATTATGGCAAAGAAAACACTGGACGAGTTCAAATTTTGAATTGTCAATGTACAATAGGACTTTAAATGTGCAAGGGATCTATAATAGAAAGCGCAATTGAACGTTTTTATTTGTGAAACTATAATTTTGTAACTTAACTCTGCTGTTTGTGAGGGAGTCAAATTAGTTCAATAAGATGTTCTACAGTGGGGGCTTTGATTGTGTTCAGACTACTAAACGTGCACGGGAATAAAGGGGTCCAGTATTGGGGTGCCATTTGTAAAGTTACACAGTCAAAAATTACCACCAGTATTTTTGTTTTATTTAGCCTTTTATAAGAAAAAAAKAACATATTTATTTTTCAAAGTCAGTTTTTTACCAA